CCACAAAATGCACCACCTTCCCTCTGTAAAACCCTGCTAAATTGCTACAGCAGCCTTTCCCAACTCTCTGTTTTCTAGATGCTTTGGATGATATTACCCATGGAGCTAATAGGAACTATAGTCCAAAATACCAGGAGATAATCATGTGGGTGAAGGTGGTGCTACACTCTTTTATGGGTGCAGGTCCCGAAGTAATGCAGGACTATGCCCATTGCCAGGGTAAGCCAATACTGAAAAGGACGTGCTGATCTCACCATGCCCCTTGTTTGCCATACTGTGCTTGCTTTCTGTACACATCTGCTGTAGTAGACAGCTGCCTCCTCCTAGCCTGTCATCCCCAGATACAATCCCTTCCCTGCAGCTCTGGTTTGACATTGTTCATGCAAACGCCTGACCTTCCCTGAGCTTGAACATTCATAGTGGCTTAGCACAAGTCAGCAGTGACCAGACCTGGCCAGAGACAAAGTTGCATGGATGGTAGCACACTGCCAGCATTGCCTGATGGAACCTTTGGTAAGCTGAATGAGACAATATCTGTCATGGCCCGATGAGTGAGACTTGGCTGTTTTTAGGGTCAGTGTTAGGAGCTGGGGGGGGGGACCACAAGGAAGAGACCATCATTGGTCCTCTATAGCTAAAAGGAAGAAGACAGAGTTTGGGCAAGTTTTTTTTTTAATTTACAACTTCCAGAATCTCCTTGCTACCAGCACTATCTTGGCACCTCCCAGAGCCCTTTTCAATCTACAGAATTATAGTGCTATGATTCCACTTTTAAAGTTCAAAAAGAGTGACTTTGGCTTACCTATTGCACAACACCGTCTCTATCTCATTGCTGCCTTGCTGTCTAAGTATGGTTACAGCACATCTTGTCATTGACAGGAAAACCCTTCAATGAGCTCCCAAATGTGTGGCTGTCTGTTTGGTTCACAGGTCTGATAGGTTTTTCGCCTGGCAATTTCAGGATTGGACAGTCACATAGTGTGAGTGTCCCCCTCCTCTTGCTTGGTCTCCCTACCCCTTGCTATTCCCAGGCAGGCTCCCTCCCTGCTTTTTAAGCTTTCTTTTATTTTTTACTTTTAAAAATCCTTTGGAATTGTTTAAAAAAAAATCCCTGAAAGGCACACTGGGTAGGGCATAGGACAGGGAGATAGGGTTAGGGAGGAGTGTGGAAGAGTTCAGAAAAGAGCACAAGGTCCCATTTGCACTATTTCAAGGATATGTGAGAAAGAATGCTTCAAAATTGGTATATATCCGGTCCCCCTTACTAGAGTAATTGCAGTGAGAATGGGGCTCATGTGATAAACTCCCACGGTTACATCCTATGGGACCCTGGGATTTCCAGATTAGGGAAGAGTATTGGGAATTTTCAGTCAGTGAGCTCAAGTAGGACACAGACCATGATAATTAATGTGAAATCATAGTGTTATAACTGTGAAGTATGAAAGGATCTCTGGAGCCAACTTTAGAAACATCAGGACTCAAGATGTGACCTGAAGCATGGGCAGGCAATGCACAGCCCTCCAAGAGGTTGCAGGACTGCTGATCTCAGAATCCATTGGGCCTGGAATAAGAAGAAGAGCCCTCCCTCCATTCCATCCA